CAAGATAAAGTGCTACATTGAGTTCAGAGCAACGCAATGAGATGGACTGACAGAACAACAATCTGAAGAGGTACATCCGTAACGGTTTTAGTGACCTGCATAAACTCTGAGAAATCAACACACTGTGTTCTCTAATGTTTTAGATGTCAATATGAAAAACCAATATGGTTTAACTCCCCTGCATTTTGCTGCAAAGTACGGAGAGGATTATGTGCCAACGGTGAGTGGTGCTTTTATTCTTTCAGTTACACTACGTCCTAAACATTCATTTCCTAATCATCGCCACTGATTATGTTCTCACTTATTTCAGAATGACACGTCGAAATAATGAAAAAGATAATAAATTTAGCTTTCTTTCAATCGCTTTGCTAATCACAGCCTTATGTGCAGGCGACTTGGAGGTAAGAACAACGATTAAGTTTGAGGTTAATATATTGTTCAAGTATAGCACTAAAGCAGACAAACAATGTATGAGTATACGCTCCTTTAAGTTAAGATAGCTATGGGCATCCGACCGGCAGTGAGCCTAATGAAACAACCCATAACGAGACGTGAACTTAACGCAAGCCTACGCAGAGACTGCAAGATCCGGTGGACTCAGCGCGCGTCAGAGATGGAACGTGCTGCAGCCATGGATAATTCCCGTAAGCTTTTCTATCTCATCCGGGTCACCGGTAGGAAAGCCTTGGGTGTAAGCGAAACAATCTGCGAAGCTGACGGCTCGCCCATTCATAATCAACAGCAACGTCCTGCACGCTGGGTGGAGCACTTCAAAGCACAATTTAGCTGACCACCGGCGTGAGATTCTCATACAGCTACTCCTGCACATGTTCCATGATCTGTCTCAATAGACCCACCCTCTGGGGCGGAAATCCGTAAGGAGATCCAAGCCTTGGGACGTCACAAAGCGCCCGGCTCCAATGGCCTTGTCCCAGCTCTCTTTAAAGATGGTGTTCTCTAGAGTCTGGCACGCTGAGCAGGTCCCCTCCTCGTCGGTGGAATCAAATGACGTCCCCACCTTTAAAAGGGGCCTGCGCAGTGACTGCGCCAATCACAGAGGTATAAGCCCTATCCCAACAGCGTCAAAACTGTTGGCGTCCGACATTCTCCGCCGATTGTACACTATGCTTGAGGAGCCGATCTGCGAGTAGCGGGCTGGGTTTCGCGTCGGTCGTGGATGCATTGATCAAATCTCCTCCCCCCGACAGCTGCTAGAGCACCACCATGCCTACCAAAGACCAATGATCATTGTGTACTTAGACATTTGTGGGGCCTTGGATTCTGTTGATAGGACCGCACTATGGAACTGTTTGTCGAGGAATGGTGTACGAGAGAAGTATGTGTCGATCCTCAAAGTGTTGTGTCGTCATACCTCAGGTCTGGTTAGAGTATATGGTCAGCTTTCGCCACCCTTTGCCGTCTCCAGTGGAGTTCGACAAGCCTGCCCTGTATCAACATTCCTCTTCAACTTCGCCATAGAGGATCCTCCGCAGAATGCTTTGTCCGCTTTAGCAAACGGTGGAGTTGAATTCCTCACAGGGAACAGAGTTCTTGACTTAGAATATGCCGATGATATCGCCTTGTTGGGTGATAATATACAGGTAGTCCAACAGGCTTTGAACCGCTTGGTGATCAAGGTATCCAGATATGGTATGTGCTTTTCACCTTCCAAGTGCAAAGTGCTTGTTCAAGATTAACTGGAGCCTGTGCTTGCACTCACTCTGTGTGATAATCAACTGGAATTAGCTGAGAGCTTTAAGTACCTCGGAGCTTGATCATAGCTGGTGTTGGTGTTGGAGAGGAGATAACATCACGAATAGCATAAGCTAAGGCAGCTTTTGCCAAACTGCGACACATGTGGCACCGGCATGACATCCGTTTGTCCCTTAATGGAAGGGCGTACGTCGCCGCGGTTCGTAGCGTTCTGCTTCACGGTTGCGAGAACTGGTCTCTCCGAGCGGAAGATGCTGATTGCCTTTCTGTATTTGACCACCGATGTCTCCGAAGTATTACTCGTGTCTGGTGGAAACATCGGGTGAGCAATGACGAGGTCCGTCGTCGTGTGTTGGGTGTGGATAGTCGCTCTCTAATAGAAGTAATCGCTCTACATCGCCTCCGATGTCTTGGTCACTTGTTGCGTATGTCTGCTCATCGTCTAATCTTCTGTGCTCTTTTTGCACATGAGGAGCAAGGCTGGAAGAAACGTCACGGCGGTCAGACCATGACATGGTGTAGAGGTATGAGGAAGTTGGCTTCACCTTTGGCTTCCGTTGATGCAGCCCGCCTTCCAGATTGGGGACCAAGGGATAAGGATTGTTGTTGGTTAGAGACGCTGAGAGATTTGGCCCAGAATAGAAATCAGTGGCGCGAATGCTGTACAGTCTGCCTGTCGAAATCTCGTGCCCCGTAAAAAACGTCAAACTAACAAAATTATCTAAAAGTGTACCGTGAAACACAAAGGTTTGGTATTCCAGTTATCTACTACTTTCCATTATAACTGTTTAAACTTCTTTTGACTATGTTTTGTATCCAAATCCACCCATCCCATGTTATTGTTATTACTGTTGTGGCGTTGGCACCATGCTTATCCGCAGGCCGGTGATAAATATATAATTATAGAATTTACAAGTGTCATGAATATACTCGGTTCTTAATGTTAACGTTATTGTTTTCAAGTCGGAAAAAGCAATGGATTTATTGTATCATATGCCGTATTTGTGTTCCTCCAATCGTCGGGGTGAGATTCGAAACACTTACTCATAAGCTTAAAGTTTGCCAGTCAACACCTTACGCATATACTCCTACTAAATCAATCATTAATTTATACAGTTTATGTAATTTTGGCCAAAATGCTCCCCCCCAATTACTTTTGTAAAATACCCGAAGTCCGATGACCAGACCTCGGAATTTCACCCAGTGTCTGCTACGGACGACGATGATGATCCGATGATTGCTTATCTGGTTCGGCAAGGTGCGAAAGTGGACGAAGTTGATCAGAATGGATTGACCCCGTTGCATTATGCCGTCTGTAGGAACCGATTGCATGCGACAAAACAACTTTTGCTTGAGGGAGCCTCTTTGGAAGTAAGTGTTCTATTTTTACATCCTGTGTTTATTTCATCTTTGCTGATGCGGTCAACGAACGAATGATCGTAATCTTCATGGCAAAAGAAGAGTACTTTATTGCTCTATCTATTTTGGGCCAGTTTAATGCGTCCATTTTCCAAATTATCTGATCGAAGAATGCACGTAGAGGATCTGATGAAGTAATGTGAATAATTGGAAAACGAGGAACAGCTTTGATTTTGTGGATAAACACAATGTTAAGTGAAGCAAATGCAGGCGAAGGTGAAATACAGTCGTATAATGGATGCTTTACCTTTGCGCATTTTAAATCAAATACAGATTGGCGGATAAGCGCATTTACGGTGGTTGGTAATAATACCAATACAATGTAACATACGTCGCTAGTCAAACATGAAGACGGTTTACCGTCTTGTTTTACTTTTTCTGTTTCATTGGGTATATATATATATATATCTGTCAAAATAATTTTTGAGAAAGGGAATGTGGCCAATCAAAGAGATGTTATATGATAACAAAGGAAAGTGAAGCTGATGTCATCAGATTGGAATACACAAAACCGGAACGAGGTGTTGGTTAAAAACACAAAGAAATCACTGCGGACTTTCGCCGATGGGCCAGATCAATAGAAAGCTAGCTCCTTCAAATATATCCCAGAATACTTGCTTGTATTATGAGCAACGAACAAATTCGTCGGCGTTTCCCTTGATATATCAGTTACATCATTTTCAAAGTAGCACCTAAGAGGGACATCAGCAGGTTAGCCCAAAAACAGATTTGCAATAGAGATTGGTGTTAGCAGTACGTCCTTGTTGATCGCTTACCTAAATATGGAACTTTTTGAAACGAAAAAACATCACACCTTATGTTCATCTTTCTTCTTGACTTTACCTTTTAACACTTGATTCAATTTAGTTTAATTTTAATTTTAACAATTGATTTCATACTTTGGTTTACAACCAAGCAGGGTTGCTGTTCTAAATCATTAAACTATTTTTGTCTGAGATCTGACTGCGGTGCCACTTAGCCATTATTTGATAGACTGAGATTGAGCACTGAATTTGATTTCATTTCACCTTGTAGCCAAACCTAAATAGCAATTAGTTTTGGTAAATGTTTTGCATTGAATAGGTTTGCATATACTAAAAGGATATTCTACATCAAGGGAATATGCTACATTGAAGGAATTCATAAATCAATGGAATCGATTAAGAAACAACCCCTTCCCGGGGACCCGTTGAACGAAATAAACTATGTGAAAGAAAGCAGAAATACTGTTGTAATATACGCTTATCTCCTTTTGTTTACTCTGATATATTCCAAGAGATACCCGCTGCGCAGATTTACTCGCATGCTGTTGATTGACAGAGCGTATTTTAGGATGGCGGATCGAATAAAATATCACCCCTGATCTTACAGGACCAATTTTTCATATCTGTCGAACTGTGAAGTATAGCAGCAAGATTCGATTTTGGAATGAAGCTTATGTTGGGATAAATACCTTTTAGGGATTAGAGTCCACAGAGTCCTTTTGGCCCAGGGGAAATCATGAAGCTTTATGTGCTGTGCTACCGGCCAATAACAGTGGTACCCAATTCCACTGGTTGATGAAATGCAGGATAAAGATGAACACCAGTCGATCATGATAAGTTCCTTGATGACCCTGTTACTCAATACGAAGTGCGCTATTTGTGCTGTATCTCTCCTCTGATGTCAATATTTAATGTGGTTATGACCTCTGACTTCTCTATCGATGTATGTATAGAATGTTCTACTTGATTTTATGTGATGACGCGTACAAAGAGAGAGGGGTTCATCGTGTAGTGTACTATTAATTTATTATTATTGCTTAAACTCCAACAAAGGTGCTGTTCTACTGTGTACATCTATTAATTGGGTACTGCGTTGTAGCCTGGCAAAGAAGAGTCTTTAAGTAAACGCGCCAACCAGTCACTTTGTGAACTCAGTATGACTTTGAGGAAACTGCTGTATGAACTAGCATCTCTTCGGTGCTCACTGGCACTAGCATAACACACAGTCGCTTGTGAGTAAATGAACTGTGAATTCTTTCCACATATGACGAAGAGACACTCGCATTCACTAAAAGATTGATATTTCAAATGCAAATTGGTCTATGAATCACTTTTGGGATGTAAACGTTAGGTTAGATGTTTTCCACAATCATGAATACTGGAAGACCAAAAATGACTGTCAATTATGGGAGCAGTTATGAGGCTCAGGACATACTATAGCTGTCTACTGCAACAATACTCCGCTTTATTTCGAATTGATTGCAGTTAAGTGATCTACGAGGGTTGTGCAAAAATGCTTTTCTTCATAGAACCTGCTTAATACGCGTGAATCAACAGTTGAAAACAAAAGGGTTGCTTTCCATTTGATTGCACTTGATTTGGCAGGTTTCCACCGAATGCAATCTAGGAGCAGTTTCATGATAACGGAGACTCCAACCAAGATTAAACGATTTGCTTCCGCATTTATTTCACTGTTTATAGTGCAAGGACTACGAAGGTATGACTCCTTTGCTGATGGCTGTCAAACATCGCAGGGAGTTGATTGTGCGTTTTTTGCTGGACTCGAACGCTGACTACATGTGCACAGACAAGCGGCAAAACTGTGTGGTAAGTTGACCGCGATCTAGTACCAAACTTTCTTTGCACCTGAAAGACCTTTAGTTCAGCAATAATGAATCACTAAGTTCATTGTTTTTGTCATTACAACTTACATTGCATCTTTTGTACTATCGAGGTTAAGTGTTTGTTTTTACTGGAGTATGTAACTGAAGTAGACACCATTTGCGATACATTCGAAAAATGTATTCTTTAGCATTTGTATTGCTCGCACTTGCATTAGTTTCATTAAAACTTGGGCAAACGCCTTTGATAAATGATAATTGGTTCGTATTTAGGTAGTTTCCAGACTGTATTATTGACAATTGAAGAAATGTGACCTTGGTTGCCAAGGTAACACTGTCTGCGCGTGGGATGCAGAGACCTGAATATTTGTGCAAAAAATATAGTTGGTTGTTTCGGTTCCTGTGGGGTTCTGTGCGGGGATGTTGAATGTAGTTTAGAATCAAACCATATATATATGATTGGAAATGGATTGGCATTGTATAATGTGATTTACGCATTTGACACATGGAAGGACAAACAAATAAGAGTGAGTCACTAATGGACGAGATAAACTATAACTCGAAGTGATGAGTTCCTTTCTTATGTTTAAATAATCTTTCAACTATGAAAGAAAGGGCATTAAGCAAAGGAAAGATTCTAACCTTTGAAACGCAGAGATAACTGAGGGACAGAATAGGATGCAAAATAATAATGGCGAGTGTATAGCGAATGGTATTCACGGAGCAGTAAACAAATTTGTTAGTGAAGCGGATGATAAAGCCGCGTCACATCCTTCTGTGGTGGACCTATTTGTTTGCTGTGCACTTTATCTCAGCGTTCTGTCTGATCTGTATAAACCATGTACAACGCGGTTGTTGTTAATCCTAGTTACATTACGCATGCCAGTCCGGGGACAAACAGTTAATCCAAAAACTTACGCAGAAGCCCAGAGTAATGGAGTTGTTGAATCAGGGCAACAAGAAAGGCGAAACTCCGTTGCATATGGCCGTGCTCAGTCAGAACTACGAGGCGTGTGAATTCTTGTTGGACAAAGGTGAGTTTGTGGATTGCATTCGTTTCGCTTCCGGTATCAACGCTGGCATTATTTCGCGACACGAACGGGTTGAGGATAGTTGTGATATATTTGAGGTGAATTATTATTGGATTGAAGTGATCAGTTCTCGACTGAATAAAAAGCTACGCGCTCCATGATTCGTGGAAGGTGTCAAGTAGGTTGCGTCCGAGTGAGTTCGACCTATACTTGGCTAATACTTGACAAATATCTAACTGCCGCTAAGCGATGATAGGGATTCAATGATCTGAGTCAAGTGTAAATACAGCATCTCCAAATAATAAATGCACTGTGATTGTCCGGGGAAAAAATACGCTACAACAGTCTGTTCTTTGAGATTGATCGACCTTGATTGCAGGAAATTGAGGATGAAAAAAGTATGATTAAATGAAGTTGATCACAGAGCAACAGGTGAATCTCATGATGTATGGTTTGTATTGCACTGTTCCAGAAAAATGAAGCGTGAGAGAGGTAAGGTAGTTTTGCGGTTTATATAACACTGAACATGCACTTTTGTGGGGTTGTTTTGTTTCTGTCTTTGGTTACCCATTAAGATGAAAGAGAAAACGGAAGATTTTAACGTTGAAAGCAGTGCCAATTTGAGGACAGGCAATTTAGTTAGATGAAGGTTGCAAAGAGATTGAGAAATGCACGACACTCAGCCGTATCATTCGGTGTATCTGATCATCGGTTACATTGAACCTGAGGTTTCCACCCGCAAGGCCTAATCAGTTCAACATGTTCAAAAGTTCAGGGCATGGTTTTCATAGCCAATCTTGACTTTTTTCAGCTCATTACTTCCCTCGGCTAACATCGCACATCGTGGTAATGTTTCTGGTGTCATGCATAACGCATACTGCAGCCATGTTAATCCATAGAGGTTGAGAACTTTCTCCAGTAGACGACCGTAAGGAAGTTAAACTCTGAGCCTAATTTCAGCCTTGATTATTCGGTTTCCCCACCAGACTCGAGCAATGTGGCATAGACAATGGTGTTCGACCACCGACGGTACTTTTCCAGTTCCAGTGACGACAAAGTCTATCTACCGTACAGCAGCAGTGGTTGTACGGCCACAGCATACATCCCATCCTTCAAATACCACCGGTACCATGTATATTTCCAGTTGTCAAACACATTTATTTGTGTGCCGAAACATAGTCAAGGTATTGTTAACTTTATTTGGGCTGTATTTTATCTGTAATATTTTTGTCACTACCCAAACACTACCCGAGGAGATGTGTAGTCTGTCTGTGCGCGCATGGAGGCCACAGCAGTCCTTAGTTGACTCATTTATGCCCAGTTTTCCTATGAAACGAAATGTCTTTTATCGAAGTGGAATGTCAAATAAGGAGTAATTGTTCTCGTGAGACATTCAAACAGTTTATACGTATTTACTCCTATAAGTTCCTCTCAGAAGAGCAAGCTGTTAATACAAGTCGGTTCCAACCAACCAAAACGTTTGTGAAAAATGTAGTACTCACCCAGTGAGTTCACTTTGCGATTTTTTGGGTATGCGAATAAACGAACTCGTTTGCACGTGTCACATTTCACTAGTGATAAACAGAGTTCTCGAAATTAGTCGTTTCTGTCCTAAATGGTTACACAATGGTGCTACTAACTGCAAACACCTTTACGTTAGAAAAAAGGAGTAAAAAGCTAACTTCATCCTCTAATCTCCCTCTTAAAACCGGCCTCGAATAGTAGCTAAGATCAATTCCGGAGACATACACTGATGCTTCTTTATGTTGCTCCATACAGGCAAATCGTGAGTGAATATACCACCAAAATCCCTTGAAATTAGAATATTATTGTTCGGGAGGGATGTTACAAGTTTGTACAAGTATAAATCACTATCAGATGTCGGTTGAACAATCCTTAGTTCACATTCGATCACAAAAATTGAAATCAATCCCTGCAACCCAGTCGGTTTGATTGCGACAAGTACGCCCGAATCTGCATGAAAGACTTGATTTAACGGGTAGCTTTCGGTTTGAGTTAGTAGTTAGTCAACAATGTCTCCCTTCGTTGTATTAAAGCTAAAATAAACTGACTGACTAACATCAAAGATGACACACACGAACTGGAATTGAAAGTTCCGGTCAGCCCGAACAAGGTGGTTAGCACAGTGATAGCACCCACGGAGCTCAGAGACTGAACGGTGGTTGACGAGCTCAAACGATAGCGAGACTTGGACCTATTTTTCTCCAATTGTATTATAGAGTGGCTGAACTGAGAACTGTTTCTTGAAGGTGCAGTCAGACGGATAATCAACCCCGATCAATAATTTATAAATGTTTAGGAAACGCTAAAATAATTTGTACCATTACGTTTTAGGTTCTTTCGAAACCTGCAACTGCGGGGTTAGTAGGAGCATACTGGCATTACCCATGGAACATCCGTTCAACCCGGGCGATGTCACTGTGGGGCTGACAAAGCGCTCGAGGTTGCTTTACTTTGTGAAGATAAGTCTCCTTTATGATTAAATCCATTCGGCGTTTCTGTAATTTAGAATAAATTAAAATCTACAGAGACATATTCGTAATGCTTGCACAGTTGCGTGTTACGTACGAGGCAACAGAGTGTTTTTGATGGCACTTTTGGTTGGGGGTTGCACACACAACGGTGGTTTTCTCAGGCATTTGTGGTCTGTATTGTGTAGGAATAGCTTTCCACATAAGTCCCACCATGTCCACGAATGTAGTCAGTGGCCACATTTTCAGTGAGAAGATCTTCACCCATTTACGGATAACAACTTAATTGATCGTTTTGTACTCCCCGATCCGGAGACCAGTCCAGCAGTCTACAACGTATTATAATTGTATTGTACCAAAATAAGCGGCTGTTCTTCAGTATGCAAAAGAGCTCAAAAATTTGTTACCAAATCAATACCATCCGTATTGCCTTCCCAGAAACACAGTCATTGCACCTCTATGACTGAAGTTCGCAAGGTTTTGAACCACCTCAACTATAAATTCGCGTTACCCTGATTCATTATTCTCCGTCCGGTTGAAATGTGTCGAACAGCCTGCGTTACCTATTGCGTAATTAGCTTGTACGTCCTTTTGTAGTATACCTGATCGGTTAGGTTCTCGAGCGTACTGTTAGGTAAAAAGACTATTTTTACCTAAAACTGACTATTTTTCGAGTGTCTGCAATTCGGAACATCTCCAATCAATACCAATCTCGCGTAGAATAATCAATCATATCGCATCATACGGAGACATTCGCTCCGCCCGTCCGATGCGTGATCGATTGAAATTCGCTAACTCCGTGACTTATGATCGATTGAACTTTGCTAACTGTACTTGATTGGCATAACCTTTTATTGCATTTAATCGATGCTATTTTGAGACCCATATAAGCATCAGATTAAAACTTGTAAATTGACTTGCTTTCCTGTGTGTTGAATACACGTTCGCTGTGCACTAACTGTGTTCTTGCTTACGTAGCTGGGAGAAGGCTACTAGTGCTCGTGGCGTCCAATCTGTGCTGTGATCGTACTCGTGAGGCTAGACGAATAGTGTGGCCGTTGAGGTACGTGTGTTCCTTGTGTCATCGTGTGATATCTTGTTGTGCGTATATTGTGATCAAACGAGATCCGGACACAACACGTACCCACATAACACTTAACACTGTTGGGAGTTTTCGAAGGAATACTGCTAAACTGGATGCCTCTTGTCTGTCGCTAACGGGTTTAATGACAATAAATGCGTTATTATACGAACGGAAATATTTTGTCTTCGAATGGACATGGTGTTGGAAAACTCAGTTAAATGACGGGTGGAGAATCGGTTCCTTATTACAGGTATATATTCACACATTTGTAGGTTTGTGAAAATTTTGTGGGTCCCAGTTACAGAACGACAAACGATGAAGATAGTCACAAAACAAGAACCAGAAAAATACTGGGTGAATAATTAAGATACGGTAAAAACAACAATTTAAGCGATTGGTCTACGAAAGAGAAAAAGGGATAAAAGTAATACAGATTGTGTTTATCTCTTGGATAAATGAGCTGTACAAAAGCTATGGAAAATTCGTCATATCGCCTACCAATCGCACAGCACTTTTTTGTTCAGTTCTTGTGTAGGTCTCACATGTTTGAATGAGGCTTTCTGTGGACATCAGATTTACTAAATGAGAGGGTCGACCAAAGGTATACTTTGTTTTCACAAATTATTGCTTGACCCAGGGTCATCGCCACAAATGTTAGGTTACTGCACAATCAGGAACTATTCCTGACTTCCCCGGTTTCTTTGGGTTTACTACTCAGTGGTTTGTCAGGTACCAACTGGGTCTGTACGCGACTTTCAATTGATCGTCAGGTACGAAGTCCAAATGGAGCTTCTAAAGATGACCGTTGAATACGTTATGGTAACCATAAGACAAATCAGTATCACAGTAGCCCGTGCTCCAGACTCGAAACCCAAGCTCGTAGGTGTTCGACGGGGTTTCTGCTTTGACCTTTCACGTTAATCGAATGTAAAACAACTTCTCATAATAGCTGAATAACGCCTCTGTAAATTGTATAACTCGGCGGTTTTCATTAGAGCTGCTTAAGGTCATCGTACAGAGGTCTACAAACTCCGTGTTATACAGAAAATACAGTATAGCATAAGGCTAGTCCTCTCCTCCCGGGTGATAATAAGCACTTGGATATAAACCGACGCACCCGCAACTGGTCCGATCACCAGTCATTACAACAATGATTGGACTGTGGACAGCTCACGAAGCCTTCCGTAAGGCCCATTAATTACTCAATTTGCCCGGAGAACGTCTCCAAGAATTAATAATTGAACCCATTGCGTTGGTTTTTCTTTTATTGCATGTAATATTTGTCTCCTCTCGTATATTTCATTTGTGTGTTTTTCTACTGCATTGCGTTGAAAAAGCTAAACATTATCCCTATAGGGTGCATAACGCTTGCTTTCAGTTCACTGTTTCATGGACGGAAACTAAACTTTTTATGAGCAGATTCTCATCAAGATGTATGCTAGATCTAAGTATACTTAGCTTTGCAGAGTTCCAATCAGGATAAACTTTTAGATACCAATTAGGAAACTGAGGGTCAGTTTGCGAGAGTGCCCCACTAATGATATCGATCAATCGCACTCTGCGCCATCATACAATAATCTCGTTTCACAAGAGGTTAATCGGACTTGGAGGCCTCTGAGGCGGCCTTGTTCAACAGCACTGAGAATAAGTCGAGCTGTTTCTCCCGTTGGAATACTACACGTACATCTCAGTTTATAAAAGAGTGATCAAGAACTGTTTCAGGATGAGATTTTATAATGATCATGGGTTGTGCAAATTTAATCATTGGTAGGTGTAGGCAAAAATGAACAGAACATGTAGAGCTCAGGCCTAGAAAAGGAGTTAGATCAAGCAAAGTGAACGAGTGAATTCTGTGTGTGAATGCCGGTATTCGATAAGATTAGCCCTATTGGTAAACCGTAATATCATTTTCGATCTTCATGACTGTTAAGAAGTAAATATTAACCTAATCTCCGTTTGATTACGTTTGTAAATGACAAATATATTTTGAGTGCTTTCCACTGGAATATGCGACAAGAAAAAAATTATATTGCTGAAGATTGTGATAAATACTTTTTTCCATCATCCATCCAGGTGCTGATATTCAAAGGCGGAACTACAAGGAAGAGAGTGCATTACATTTAGCCGCGTGGGTAGCTGATATGGGTGTTTTACACCTGTTGATTANCAGGTCCTGTTGGAAAAGTAAGCTAAAAGAAAACTAAAAAATACATAACACTGTGGTATAGTGCTTAGTGAGTTATGGCTGAAATTAACCATACACCGTACGACCTTATTTGATGCAGATCGTTTATTTTTTTATTTAAAAGTAAATGCATGGAAAAAATGACATTCAATCGGTTTTAATATTGGAAACAATTGCTTTCTCGTCACTCTGAGGGCAAAATGCCTTAAGAGCTTAACAGTAAGGTTACCATCTCACTGTCAAGCTAGGAGAGATACTTTACCCAAAATAAAGTGACCAATATAAGCCTAGCCGCCTAAGTTTTCTTTTAATTCAGTCACTTCTCCTTTCTGATAAAGTGTTTGTAAAATTAAACATTTGTCAACAACATCTGTCTCATTTTCATCTCACATTTCGCCGCATATTACCCACTCAGACAATTTCGGAATCGTTGTAAATGATGCCAACAGGTTTTGTTATCCCAGCACAAAGCAGATTACAGTTGTTCATACTTCAACGTATTACATTTCATCAGAATTTACCAATAAAAATATTGACAATCCATTCACATTAGACAAGTATATCAGCTTGGACTGTATACATCTTGAATGTTTTGCAGTAGTTATCACTTTGTTTTGTTATTTTTCTCACTCGCTTTCTCTCCAACTTGATTTGTATGTTGGGAATATGCTTATACCGTGGTTCTTACCCCAACTAGAGGCGCTTCCGTAGATCATGTGGATAGTTTCGTTCAAACCCCACTCATATTGGCCGCCAAATTTGGACGTTCAGAGGTTTGTGAACAGCTAATATACAATGGGGCAAACATTTTTGCGCATGACAACAATCTGAATAATGCGCTATTTCATGCAATTCTGAACAAACATCATGACACAGTGAAGGTGAGTGAAAATAAAACCAAAATGCTTTGTGAGTTATTATTGCTCGGGTAGCAGTAACCAGATGCAAAGACTCATCTACCCCTGTTCAAATGTCTTTGTTGTACATAATGGTTACCTTTTAGAGCGAGTATCATCACTTCATTTCAGTTTGTATAGGATAGAAAATTGCCACATCCAAATTTCAAATTTTGTTATGGGAAGAACTTACACAGACTTCGCTTACCGAATCCCATTGGGTGTTTACACTTTGGGTTTGGAGCACGATTCACAAGATCACAGTTAGTCCATGTACGTAAGAAGTAATGTAACGAGCACATGAGAATATATTATGTAGTTGGGTGTTGAAACATAAAGCTGACGCTTGAGAGATACTAATATTGGCGCAGAGACCACGTAAAGTGGTACAGAGTTCCATGTGCTGCACACTCTGATTGCAAACGAATGGCGTCTGCAGTCGAGACGGCCCTTTTGGAGTGCCAACTTGATTGGATGTCCTCTAAGATGACCATTGGTTAATAGAACCAAAAGAGATCTACATGGATGTTTGGGCTGTTGGAAAATCCGATACAGTAAGATCATAGCACCTCTGCTTTGACGATATTGAGACGAGTATAGCCCCAATAGTTGCAATCTTTCGCCATAGATCTTAGAATATAGACCTTCAATCATCTCGGTAGCCATTCTTGCGAATGTTTGAGTGCCTTTCGCTGTAGCCATGGGTTCCAGGCCTCGGTTTATGGACGGATATATGTGGCTATCAGACGTGGAAACAAAGCCGGCTCAAACAATACAAAAACACTCTTAAGCAGTCCAACCTGTTTTACCGCCATGGATGATGCCTTGGAATGGTTTGTGAAGCAACTGAAGTCTGTGCGAATGACTACTACTCCCAGATCCTTCTCGGATGGAGCATGAAGCAGAGTTTCGCGGGTGAGAGTGTAGGAAAAACGACCATCGTGATGTAGTAATAAGACTGCATTTGGTAACGTTAATTCCATGTCATTGGAGACAGACCATCAGTGGGCTTCGTCAAGGGTGTTCTTGAGATCAAATGAATCTCCAGGTTTTGTTATTGTCCTCCATATTTTGGCATCGTCTGCAAATAGCAGAGTTTGTGGTCTGAGGACGTCTGGAAAATCATTTATAAAGGCAAGGAAAAGAAGTGAGAGGTTACCATTGATTCCATTTTCTATACGTTGAACGGATAGTATTGCCCTACAAGGACATGACTTGTTCTCATTTTGGTAACCTATTAATGTTTGCTCTTACTATATGCCGTAGGTAAAGGTTTGGTTAAATTTTCCTTTAGAGATATGGTCAAAAGCACAATGAGTATGGGTTGTTTGGCCAATATACGGTTTGTATAGGTTTCATCCATTGTGGGAATGTTTTTGATATTATGGTGAAATATGCGTGTGTGCACACTCACATTTGACCTGTCAGAAGAGCAGGCTATAATGAAAAGCTCTAACAATTTTTCTATCCTAAATAAAATGTTTTTCAATAAGCAGGCACTTCACCATGTTTGCAGTCAGGGTTATGTCGAGTTTTGTTACGGTGCTCGAGGAACGGTGCGAGAGAAAATGTGCCTTACATTCCGCAGTGATAAGTGATGCATTTTTCGTGCTGTGTGAACATATCCATTTGCCTGCATTGTAACATGAGTGACGCACATATGTAATGATTCTGTCTTAGCTCGTGACTCAGTTAGAACAAAACGAGGAGCCAATAATGATTCGCATAAAAATGAGTCTTCACTGACGGATGAAACATGATCGTTCCCAATCATGGAATATGTTTTTTCATGTTCATCGCCACCATCGGTAAGCTGTATTACATTGTAACGCAGTCGATGCATTTGTGTCTCCAATTGCCCTTTGGTCCACGTCGCCACAATGAAGTTCGTTGGAAGTCCCATATTATCCCGGTCTGTTTGCAAGTCGTGTGTGATTCGGAGTGCAGCGAAAAACCATGTGCTATTGATTTTTTAAATTACTAATGACTGTTTACTATGTGCGTGTGGGTGGATGCATAGATGATACACACTGATACAGAAAAAAATGCAAAATGTGAGTTGTGTCACCAGATAGCCTGTGTATGTGTGTGTGTATGAACGTTTCACCAACCAATATGCTTCCACATATACTGATATCAGCTGGTCCAAGTGACTTCGAGTAAATCACGCGGTAAAGTTATGCAATCCTTTTTCTCGATATTTGTCGAAGATCGCTGGGGTAGAAAAAAACAGGCTTTGACAACAACAACACGTAATTCACTTCACTCTCAGCTTCTTAAATGCATTGATGTAGAACAAGGGTGTTATGGATACGCCATTGTAAGCATGCACATGTGCACCGGACATAAGCAACCGGCATGANTGCAATCCTTTTTCTCGATATTTGTCGAAGATCGCTGGGGTAGAAAAAAACAGGCTTTGACAACAACAACACGTAATTCACTTCACCCTAAGCTTCTTAAATGCATTGATGTAGAACAAGGGTGTTATGGATACACCATTGTAAGCATGCACATGTGCACCGGACATAAGCAACCGGCATGAATAGTGGAACTAATGCAAGCTGGAAACTAAGTAATAACCAGAGTGAATTTGGGGGAAAATCTCATTAAACGACGAGACTGCATCTTGGCGTGGTGTGATGGCTTGCGCGCCTCAATGACCTTGCGAGCTATACAGGATGGCTCCTCAGCCGCAGATACAATCATGCCTGAAGGGAC